TAATGATCCCGGTTTTTTTTTGCGTATACTTTCTCGTTGGTAAACCTTGGCCAAAATATTTATATTAGTAAACAAGAAAAAGAAAATGTAAACCAATTTATGATTTCGAATTTTTCTTTTTGTATAGTATAAAACCAAGTTAAAACGAATTACCATTTGGTTATGTTTGGTACGGGTTTTAAAAACCAAGTTAAACCAAAATTTAGGTTTCACTCGGGCTTATCTTTCGTGTTTTTGGTTCGGTTTTGATTATGGTTTTTCTCTGATATTATAGAAAGAACCCAATCGGATAATTTTCTCTTGGGTTTGGTTTCGTTGGAAATCAATGGGAACTTCCTACTCAGGATAATGGCTCAGTTTGCTGGGTCCTCAGAGGAAACACATTACGAACCAGTTCAAAATAACAGTTGGATCCCACAAATAACATTGGAACCACTAAACAGAGACACTTACACATGTTTTCGAGAAGAGTATCACATCTTCTTCATACACGCGATTCCATTTTCTTGACAGCTTTTTCAATGGCTGGAATGTTATTCTTGAAAGTTGACCACTGTTCGTCTGTTAAGCTTATTCCTGAAGGGAGACATTATTATTCAGAGACTGAAGATGGACTAAAGAAAATGTAGAATAAGACTAAAATCTAAAATCCCCACTGGCTTCAGTAGTGAAACCAATGACTGATGCAACAACTTTCGAATGCAATATCAAAAGTGGAACTTGTAAGAAACAAAATCAAATGCAACCTCAGTCGAAGAAGACACAAACTCAAAAGCAATTTCATGGTTTTTCCCAAACAAAATATCAAGAGATGTAAAATGTACCTTTAGAAGTAGGAAGTTCTTTGCCATCTTTCTTATAATACTCTCTGATTGAAACCAAAGTCTTCCCTTTAAATTCCTGAATCGTCACTCTTCTCTTATCCGAAAGCTAACGAGACAAACCACAAAAGATGAGACTCGATTTGACAACAAGCTCTGGTTAACAAATTATGATCCAACATCGATTCTCAGTACCCAAAACAAACAGAGGATTCGAAACCCATACCCTGCAAATGATGAGGTCTCCATCATCGTCCAACTCTTTGTTTCCCTTACTTACTTCCTCCTTAGCTCCATCTTCTTCTTCCGCAACGTCCTCTGGTTTCTCTCTCTCTTCTGCGAGGAACGAGTCTACGACGGTTCGTACATACGCCTTGTGAGGTTTCACTGAGAGATCGATACCGAGTCTCTCCGAAGCGAGTTTACGGACCTTGAACTCAGTCATCTCTGTCATGTCCGATTCCTTCAGAATCTCTAGCACCGTCTTCTCGATCTTCTCCTTCATCTCTTGCTCCATTAGGGTTTTTGTTTTTGGGCAAGATTTGAGAACGGAGAGTAACCAAATCGGGAAATCCGAGTTTTCTTTGGGGTGGTGGTGTTTAAACGGTGCCGTTTTAAGTGCTCTTACGTGGCATCCAATTAGGTCACGCTCTCTTAACAGTAGTACCAAACCAAGTCAAAAGTTTACTCCGGTTTAACCAATATCTAAACCGGAGTAAACTGCTTCGTTTGGTTTGATGACAATCTGTTCGATACGGATTCAAATTTGCCTTAACCATAATTTCAACCGAAAAATTAGACGTCTCTAATCTAATCTACTCACAACACAAGTCACGATTATTGCTTTCTTTTTTCTTCTTCTTGGGGGCAAACTCAATTATTGCTTTCAAGTTTTCAATTTATACCTTGTACAAGATCTATGTATCATAGTCTATTAGGATTTACACAAGGTTCAGTTTCATTTTTTCTAAAACAATATTTTCAACAAAAGCTAGCCACTTTGTTAGTCACAAGATTACTTTTAATATGTCAATACTTGGGCATTATAATTTGTTTGAGTAACCAAACATTTACTAGATTCAATAGTAACCAATCACCAACGTATCATTTTGCAAGACTGTTGATTCAATTTCTCACCACTGATTGAATTTGAATCCCAAAATACAAATAGGCATAACTAAAAGAGAGAAAAATTTAGACCAACCATTCAATACCAACTGATAAAAAAAACATTCAGTACATGTCGTTAAAATTGAATAATAACACTATTTTAATCTAATACGCAGTTTCCTTCTTCATCTCCCCTTAAAAAGGAAACCAAACCAAAATAAATAAAAGAAGAGAGGGAAGACAAAAACTAGGGATTATCATCACCCAACAACTTGTTGATTGACGCCATCGATGAGCATCACTGAGCTGTGATGATGAACCATGTGCCACCTTGCATTGTGGAACTCGAACACATTGGTGATGAGGAACGGACCAGCGTCCACATTCAGGTATGCTTTCATGGTGATCCAAGCCATGTCGCTTAGTATCCGAGTGCGAACGTTGTGGACCTGAAAGTCAAACCCTTGTTCCCAGTTAAAACAAAGTTGCCAGCTTTGCATCACATCGCTGTACCTGCAAAAATTGATGGAGGGGCAAATCGATCGATGATCTCTCTCGCTTCTTTCAAACAAATCCAGAAAGAAAAAAAGATGTATCTATACCATTTAAGGATGGCCAACCCGTTACACAGTCGCATAAGAATGTAATGGTGTGGACTAGACCCAAACTATGGAATCACTGTTTCCATAGCAAAGGGAAATTGTTGAAAGAATCTAAATTCTCTTACACCTCCTATGGAATTACGAGTGTTAATCATTCTTCGGCATTTCTATTATACCAAACTATACTGCTAACATTTTGTATCACTCGGAACTTCATGAGAGCATTGTGATAAAGTCAAATGTACAATCCGCTAGTATACTCAAACTTAGAACGGACCTATACCTTACCGCTAACACCATAAAAGCATACCCAAAACCATTACAGAACATGCTAGGTATGCATTAGCGTGACTGAATAGATATAAAGGAAGGGGGAGAAAGGTACCCAGAGAAAAGTTCGCCTGAGGCATGAATGCACTTCACATAGTCCGAGTTAAGCCATAATCGAGCCATTTCTTGAAGAGATCTCTCTCTTATGATGTTGAAGAATTCGGTATTCACACTAATGATTGCTCTAGTAGTTGCATAGTACGATTTCCACCCGTTGACTGGAGTTATACCATCTTGTTCCAGCGTAAAATCCTAGTAGAAATGAGAAAGAAATAAGGAAGACAAATATCAGCAAGCGTGTCGAAAGCAAGCATTATAAGAGTGAATACAAAGCAAGCATAAATTTCGACACTCATGATTCCAGAAAATGCTTAGAATATATCTTGAAGCCCTCGCCAAACAGAAACTATCAAAGCACATATATCCAACCATAGGCTATTAATCAACCAATACACATATGTGACTGAATACTCCACTACTAAGCAGAAACATGGATACTCTATCTTTCTCGCACAACAATCACATTTCACTAGTCCCTTTGTTTTAGCAAGAAGAAGTGAAAAGTTTTTTATTTGCAATGAACTAAGCATCTTAAAACCCCAATTTCCATAGAACCATATTTACATAATTTGGCAAAATTTCCAATACATGAAAGCAAAACAGATGATTAAATGAGTCGAATTTACCTTGTGATAAAGAGCCTTCCAAGCATTATCGTCATTGGCAGCTTTCCTCATCAATGAATTGGTCATAGACAAGCGACAAAGACTGGGATAATCCAAGTAACTAAGCGCGTGGGTCGTAATCTCCGGAACCAACTGCTCCATCATGGACACTCCGGGCTTATCATCAGCAATCATACCCACGACGGTGGAAGCCAGAACATCTGTTCTCTCTCCGCCACCACCAAGAGAAGCCACGGAATCTGCGTCTCCGTTCACAGTGCCACCGTTGGCGAGCGGCGTCGACGGCATAGGTTTATCCAGATTTCTGTTCCGAGAAAAGGATCGGACGAAGAAAAGAGAGAAAACCCTAGAAATTGAATCGGAAAAGAAGGACTTAGGGTTTAATGGTGTTTTGCAGAGCTGTTCCCTTCTTCTGCCGAAACCCTAGAAATTGAATCGGAATAAATAGTTACCAAAGAGGAAGAAGAGAGATCTTTTGGTCTCCAACTCCGTAACTGACCATCGCAAAATATTTTATCAGAAACTCTCTCACTAAAGAAAATAGACTTAAATGCCAAGGGTATTATCGTAACTTACTTATTATATACGTCACCGTTTTGATCTTTCAGACTTCCATCTAGAAATGAAGTCAAGTTTCCGGAAATTCAATCGATTGGGAAATTCGGTTTAGTTCGGTTCGAATTTTGAATTTTTGAGATTTCAAAGATCATTGAATTTTATTTTAATTTGGTTCGGTTTAACTATCATTTGTTTCACTTTCACCGGCAATTTCAACTTTCCTGGTTCGTTTAAAGTTTAAACACAGTGACCAAAACTGGGAAGAAACGCTTGATGTAATTAAATATATATCTTCTCTTCTTCAAACATTTCTTTTTAAGAACTGTAGCAACTAAATATATCTCAGTTTCAGACAGATTCAGATCTCTAACAAGAATTGCTTCCTTATGCAATAGCCTGAGAGAAAGACAGAATCTCCAAAACTCATGGAGAAGACAAAAAGAGATAATGATAAATAACCTATTTTACTTATGTTTTTTTCTTTGTACTGAACTACTTGGTCAACTTATTTACGCATGCATATCTGGAGTCACTTAGACTTGTCCTTGTGGTGAGCTCCGGAGGAAGAAGAAGCGGCGGTTTCAACATATTGCTCGGCCAGTTTCTTGATCTTGTCGCCTTCTTTGATCAAGAAATTAGCACTCTTGGCTTTGCTATGATACTTCATCACTTTCTCTGTTGCTTTAGTCACTGCCCATCTGTATTGTTCCACGTTTATCACTCCGCTTTTGCAAAGTGGTCTGATATGTTCTTTGATGTATGCTTCCACCTTCAAACAAAAAAACCAATTCAATTCCCATTGAAGACAAAACAAAAATGGGAATTTTGAAAATCAAGGACAGTTTTTATTACCTTCTTGGTGATGGAGTTACTTAACCCATCAGCGTTGTTTTTATCTTCTTTCGACGGTTTTTCGTTTGGATTACACTTTTGAATCCTTTTGGCAATTTTTTTCTCTTTGATGGAAGACTTCTCAAAGTTTGAAGCGATGATCTCTCTGTGTGTGTTGCTCTCACACTCTGAATCAGGTGCTTTAGCTTGAACACCGTTCTCAGCAGATCCTTCAACGAGAGGTTTTTCAACTAGTTTCTCTGTACCAGGTCCGTATAGTTCTTCACATTCAGCTACAGAAAGGA